ATTCTGGGTTGGAAAGTCCAGAAGTCCAAAACACTGCTTCACTATCTTTCTGGTTTCTACAATTGTTAATTCACATATAACATTGATTCTTAACCTTTGTACAAAAATGACTTTTTTCCTATTCTGAATGGTATAAAATTTCCTAATAAAAGAGCCTGGTATCTTATTTTCTGACAAATTACTTTTCAAAAGCACACACACATAAAGAACAGCATATAAACAACTTAAGAACTCAAAACTTACCATGTAAGCCAGGAATCAGCAAGCTAAAGTAAAAAGGCCAAAGTGGTCTCCTGCCTGTTTCAGTAAATATAGCTTTGTTGGAACATGGCCACACCTATGAGTTTATCTATAGGTCAAAGGCAGTAGTTGCAACAAAGATAGTGTGGGCTCCAGAGTCAAATATTACTTGGTACTTCACAGAAAAAGTTGTTGAACCCTAACCTAGCTTGAAACAAAAAACAGTCAGTGGAATATTTGTCTAGCAAGCATAGGACATATATTTTAATCTCAACGCTGGGAAAAAAAAAAAAAAGTTAAAACTGCCAGGTGCCAGTGGTTCATGCTTGTAATCCTAGCTACTCAGGAGGCTGAGACCTCAGGACTTTGACTTTCCTATTTATACTTCCCATTTATCTATACTCTGCTTTTATCAGTTGAGATGGTGGGGGTAGGGGGGGGTGTCTCACAAACATTTGTGCATTGGCCTGGAACTATGATTCTGCCAATCTCACTCTCTTGAGCAGCTGGATTAGTGTGAGCCACAGTGCCTGGTACATGTAAACTTTTTTTTTTTTTTTTTTGTCGGTCGCGGGCTTGAACTCTGGGCCTGGGCACCGTCCCTCAGCTCTTTAGCTCAAGGCTAGCGCTCTACCACTTGAGCTACAGTGCCACTTCCAGTTTTCTGAGGGTTTATTGGAGATAAGAGTTTCACAGACTTTCCTGCCCAGGCTGGCTTTGAACCTCGATCCTCAGATCTCAGCCTCCTGAGTAGCTAGGATTATAGGCGTGAGTCACCGGCACCCGGCTTACATTTAAACTTTTGATCCACTTAGAATTTCATTTTGCCTGAGAATTTTTCTTCTAACTTCTACTGACAGAAACTACTGAGAAGGTTGCCATTCTTCACAAATACTCCTGTGCCTTCTCTATTGCTTTTTTTAAAAAACAAACCAGAAACTCATGTATAAATGGTCTATTTCTAGGTACTCATAGTCTATTCTATTAGTCAGTTTGTAGTCTGACAGATGTTATGGCCAGCACCTTTATTACTACATCTTTAGAAGAAGTCTAAATATATTTTGGTGATTCTCTCTCTCTCTCTCTCTCACACACACACACACACACACACACACACATATTATTTATTATTTACTTACTTTTTGTTAGTTATTTCTTGCTGGTCCCAGGGTTTGAACTCAGGGCCTGGGCGTTGTCCCTGTCTCTTTGGTGCTCAAGGCTAGAGTTCTACCATTTGAGCCACAGCTCTACTTCCAGCTTTTTCTGAGTAGTTTATTGGAGATAAGAGTCTCATGGAGGGGCTGGGAAGGTGGCTCAGTGGTAGAGTGCTTGCCTTGCATGCATGAGGCCCTGGGTTCAATTCCTCAGCATCACATAAGCAGAAAAACCTGGAAGTGATGCTGTGGCTCTAGTGATAGAGCCCTAGCCTTGAGCTGAAGAGCTGAGGGACAGCACCTAGGCCCAGAGTTCAGAGTTCACGACCAACAACAACAACAACAACAAAAGAGTCTCATGGACTTTCTTGCCCAGGATGGCTTTGAACCGCGATCCCAGATCTTAGCCTCTTGAATAGCTAGGACTATAGGCATGAGTAACCAGTGCCTAGCTTATATACTAATTTTAAAATTAGCTTGCTGGGTACTATGTCAAACCCCATTGGGATTGGAAATGAAATTGTAGTTAATAAATGTATAAATCATTTGAATGAAATGGCATCTTCAAAATACAGAAATCTGCCTATTTATGAACACGGCCACATTTTTTTCTCATCTATTAACCACCACAGACATTTTCACTTTAATAGAAGTTATATTAATAGATTTGCAACACATTTCTAGACTCAACCCATCTTAGTTACTATGAGACTTTAAAGATATTTGCTTCCATTTTGTCTAAGATTTTAAAGCCTACAATAACAAGTAATATTGACTAGCAATTTTCCTTATTTTGACTACCTCTTTGTGTGGCTGAATGTCAATGTTATACAAGTGGTACAGGAAAAGCTAGGAGTAATCCCTGTTTGCTCTAGTCTTGGGTTTTTACCTAAGATTTAAATGATCTGTTCCTTTAATTGTCTGATAAATTTATCTATAAAGTTATGTGGGTTGACTGTTTTATCTAGATAAATATATTAAAATGTAGACTCAAGTTCTATAAATTACATGATTATTTAATTTTCCTATTTCTTTTTGAGTCAATTTTGATAAATTACATTATTCTGTTGATTACACTTTAGTTTTTAAATACTAGCATAAAGTTGGTAACAATATTTTCTTACTAATTTTAAAATCTCTGCTACATCTGTTCCTTAAATTTGTTCCTTTATTTCATTTTAGTTTGGAGAAGGAACAGAAATAACTTTGTATGTTTTTCTACTACATTTATATGAACAAAACTACACAGAAGGTACACTCTTCCTTTTCTGTAAAGATAGAGAAAAATAATGGAATCCGATAAAGCTGGTGTAGTGAGAATAAAATGATGAAATATGTAATGTGTTTAGGATAGTGAGTGGCACATGTTAAGGGCCCAAAGCACCATTACAATACATTTGATTCTACTGAGATGAGTTTTGTTCTGATGAAGCTTTATAATTCAAAGCAGCAGTGACTAATATAAAATATGCCCTCATTTCATTCAGCCTTTTAAAGAGGCAATGATAAATGTGACAGGCAATATTTCCATTCTGAAACTCAGTCTGAATCTTGATGTCCTAAGATTGTTAACTACACAAGTAAATTACATAAAATAGAATGCAAAACAATACACAAAGGTGAGTATATTGTAAGCTGTCAGGCTTTTGTCACCCACTGTGTGTTATGAGCCTTGAACATAAAAGGGAATCAAAAATAATGAAATTATAATGAAAATCTAAAGAAAATTCAAGAGTCTCACACAAGTTTCACTATATGGTATCTTTTATTCATGGGTAAATACAACTAATTTTTACCATCTTTTTTTTTTGAATGCCAATACTGGGTCTTGAACTGGGGTCCTGGGCACTGTCCTCTACCTTCATCATTCAAGGCTAGTGCTCTACCATTTAAGTCACAGCTCTGTTTCTGGCTTGTTAGTAGTTAGAGATAGATCAGGAATCTTATAGATTTTTCTGCTCAGGCTGTAATCCTGAACTGTAATCCTAAAATCTTAGCCACCTGAGTAGCTAGGATTACAAGCATGAGCCACCAGCATCAGTTGTTTCAACCATCTTTAGTAGAAGGATGATGCATTCTACTCCCAGACAATTTCTGCATCTGTATTACTAACAACAACGAATTTGAAAACAGATATTGAATGGGTACTGAGGTCTGTGATTTAATTTGAAACACATGAAACATAAGATTGAATTTTTTTTAAAGCCAGGGGTGTAATTTAGCAGTAGACAGTTTGGCTAATAAGCAAGAGTCTCTAGGTCAAATTCTCAGCAATGAAAAAATAAATAAATTAAAAATAAATAATTAAAAAATAAATAAAAACTACAGTAAGAAAGACTGGTAAATGGTAAAAACAATGTGCAGATGGATAAATATGTAATAAAGTAACCTCAGCTAATTATTATTGGTCAAAAATAGATGTAATTATATTAATTTTCACTACAAAGTTATTTAAAATTTTCTAGAATGATTGAGAATTTTTATAATAAAAATAGGGAAAAACAAACTATACTAGTCAAGTAAAAGAAAACTAAAAGAAATGTGAAAAACATGTTATATATAAAAATTATTACACTATATAGTTTATTATAATTTATAAAAAATATTAAAACTCCTTTTGATAAAGAGGAAAAGATATTAATAAGATACACAGGAAGTAAACTCATGGAAAATAGTTACTTCTACCAAAGAATTAAAGAAAATAAAAAATGCTACTTTGACTACTTTATTAGAAAAAATACACACGATTGAGGAAAGGCTGAAGTAAAAGTGTTCCACTAGGGCTGGGAAGGTGGCTCAGTTGGTAGAGTGCTTGTCTTGCAGGCATAAGACTCTGGGTTCGATTCCACAGCACCACATAAGCAGAAAAAGCCAGAAGTGGCGCTGTTGCTCAAGTGGTAGAGTGCTATCCTTGATCTGAAAAACTGAGGGACAGCCTCCAAACCCAGAGTTCAGGCCCCACAACCAACAACAACAACAAAAAAGTGTTCCACTATACACAGCTGGCAACATTCACTGGAAAACACACATGGTTGGGGAAGTAATCTGGTGCTCATTAGGTTCTTAGACCTGGTGCTCCCACTCCTTAGAGTATCAGCTATATCAATCAAAAGAAGCTAAGAGATGATTGTTGCAATATTATCTACTAGAGATTAACTTGCAACAACCTAAAAACAGTCAGAGGAGATAAATTTTAGTAATGGTGATATAGCTATATAATGGAACATGGTGTACACATTAAAAAAAAAAGGGGGGGGCTGTGGCATAAATGGTAGAGTACCTGTGTATCATGTGCAAGACCTTGGAATCCAAGTCCCAACACTGACACACACATATAAAAGACAGTAATGAAAGCTTAGGTGGAAAGAAGTACAGTGCTCACAACACATACTCAAAAGGAAAACTATTTATAATTGATTGTGAGACTATAAAAATATGTGAAATGTGCTTTGACACTATAAAGCAGCATGAATAATGAATGAAAATGATGTATTACCATATGAGGGGAATGTGGCTAATTCGTTTTCCTAAAATTTCTTTAATCTTGCTGCTAAGTCCTTCTATTAGAGTGTATCACTGAGACGCCTGTGTGCACACTGCACTCACCGTGCTCAGCTTGCTGCAGGCAAGGAGGATCCGGCGCTCATACAGCATGCTGGCATACAGATGTAGCATGTTGTTGACATCCACAGCCACAAAATATTCTGTCAGATTTCTCTGAGAAAAAGAAGAAGGCAAGGTTTGTGACTGCTTTTGTTTGTTCTTATTACAAGCAGTACCTAATAACAACACAAGAAACAGAAAATAATAAGAAAGCACACACTCTTCTTCCTCTGTCCTGTTCTTTCTAACTAAATCACACTCATGTATAAAGTCATGAATTTTTGCAAAGTTGGAAGACAACTTGGAGATGAGCAGCAGCCTGAGCAAATGCACTTTTGTGTGGTGATTATAGTTTACAACACAAGGTCACATATAATACCATGTTTGCTTTTCATGTGAGTCTGAAAGGTGAGAGAAACAGGAATTTTATAGTCTCACAAATGAGGAAACCAAGGTGCAGGGAGATTTGCCAAGATCAAATGGTCTAATAAGCAATGAAGACAGGACTGCTGCTCAGATCTTCCAGCCTGAGGCCCTAGAACTTTCCCAAGGTACTATGTCATGTAAAAGAAAGCACCCAGGGACCAAAATGCTTTCCAGACAGGACCCATTTCTATCCAGCAGATTCCAGTTTCCAAACCCAAGCATGTACTTGTCCTATCCACACTGCCAGTGTCCACGCTTCTCCATAGCTTACAGTCTCCAAAACTGTTCTCCCATAATTAAAGCTACTTTAGAGTTACAACTTCCAATATTCCTCACTTAAAAAAAAAGACAAATAGCAGCCAGTTGTGACAAAGCAGTTAAAACACTGCTTTTGTCTCTGGCCTGATCTTCATTCTTTAATTAGTCTTACAGATTGGTATTCTTTAAATTTTAGGAAAAAATTCAATGTGTTTGGCTTCTACAATCCCTTCTATAACCACTTGACTTTAATAATACACATGAATATGCTAATTTCTTCAATGTTGCAGGTTTTCAATGCCTCACAATATAATCCTCTGCAAATGAAAGAGGGTGTGTGTGGGGGGAAATGGAACACTATTGCCAGGGGCTATAGTTTATAATGATTGAAGATCTATAACCCATAATTTGAAGTAAGCCAGGTAGATTTTACATGCAAAATAATGTAAAGTGCTTTTCAACAACATTATGGCTTGTGAGTTAAGAATAAGCACTTATCTTATGATTTATGATTGTTTGACTGGAGTTACCAGGTTAACCACCAACCTTTATAAATAAAGACCATGGGAAATAGAAGCTCCATATACTAACTACCTTATCATGTGCCAGGTACTGCATCAGGCACTCTATGCAACCTCATGCAATCATCACAAAAATCCTGTAGGCATTATTCTTTTCAATACAGATTAAAATACTGGTGACATTCAGTAATTACAAGAGTCAGGCCTGACTTTAAAGCCAATATATTTTCCCTTAAGCCTGTCCATATGAAATATTTTCAACATCTATATGTAGAAGGTTTTACAGAGATTCACTTAATACTGAAACCACTTCTTAGACACATTACTCTCCCTACTTAACAATGAAAAGCAGGCACAGAGAAGTGATATTTGACAAAGGTGAATTAAGTGTGCAATACACAATTCAATCTTGCATTTTTAAATGCCCTCTAAACTATAGGTAAAACTAATATTCAGAAAAAAGTACTGAGTGTGTGAAAAAACAAGACTAAGATTGCTTTTAAAAATTACTGCTACCTCATTTACTGAGCAATCCTATGGACTAGGCAATAGATAATTGACTTGTGTTCTTTCTGCCATAGAATAGGCATTACTAGTCCACTCTTGTTTTTGTTTTTGCCAGTCCTGGGACTTGTGAACTCAGGGCCTGGGTTCTGTCCCTGAGCTTCTTTTGCTCAAGGCTAGGACTCTACCACTTGAGCCACAGCACCACTTCCAGTTTTTTTTAAATGTATGTAGTACTGAAGAATCGAACCCAGAGCTTCATGCATCCTAGGCAAGCACTCTACCACTGAGCCATATTCCCAGCCCATTATGTCCACTCTTTAGATGGGAAAACTGAGGCTCAGGAAGATTAGTAATCTAAGATTATTCAGCTAGAAAAGGTAGCAGTTAGGGTTCAAAACCAGGTTTCCTGAATCCACAACTCAAATGTTAACATCATGCCAACATACCTCTTAACAAATACAATGGCAGAATGGAACACATACCAAAGGCAGTTAGAATTGGGTAAGAAGTATCTCTCCTGCCTGTGCGCAGAGAACACTAAAGTTAATGTCAGGGTGGGGTTCGTGCTGGAGACAGTGACATGGCAGAGCATTTCTCACCAACAAAAATATAAGACCCTCAGCTGAGCATTTCAGCAAAAGCTTAACTGCTGATGAATTACATGAATTTTTCTTTTAAGAGAGGATGGAAGTAAAAAGAAAATAGAAATGAGGAGCTTAAAGAAGGCCAGAAAGCCCATTAGCACTTTTGACAGATCCAAAGATAACTCTGAAGCCACCAAAACGTGGCCTCAAGAGTCTGCCAAGAAGTTTCACGCTGGGTAGAAATATGTTACACAGCTTGTCGTCCAAATAGGGAGACACAGCGTCAGAGACAAATCCTGTGCCTTATTTTGGTGGGAGAAAAAAAAAAATTACAAGGATACTTTTGTGGATGGCAAAGGGAACATTTCCCAAATAAAAACACTACTTGACTGGGTAGGCCCCCCATTCTCTGTCAGGATCCTGAGCAACTCAGGTACCTATTCCAGAAACTCTACACAGGTATGTTAAAAATATGTAACATTTAGCCAAATTCTTTCTAAACTGTCATGTACTTTTTTTGGTATTTCTCATCCCATCTGTGCTGATTACCAAGATATTTGTGTCTAAACAGAAGCTGTCTTTCTTTCTTATCTGCTTCCTCCCCTGCTTCTTTCCTTCTGGGATGCCACCCGCCAGAGCGGATGGGACTGCCAGCAGCCCCAGCCTAGGAACCTCACTCAGCCAGCCTTGGGGCAGGGAGGTCCTGAAGCACTTGAAGCTCCTATCAAGCCTGGGCCAGAGAAAGCCCCCTGGAGACAGGAACCTCCTCCTGTGGCTGTAAAGAATTCAGTTGCTACAGCCAAGCCTTTTCAGACTTGCCTTGCCCTTTTCCACACCCAGGGCCTTCACATTTGCTATTTCTTCCTAGAATGCTTTTCTATGCCCCCTCAACTACTTGTCAAAAACCAGCCCCAATGACACCTCCTCCTGGAAGGCTTCCTGGCCTCTTCATTTGCCAACCTCTCCTTTGCGTTTCCATAGCAATTTGTCCCTATCTTACAATAACTCCATTTTAAGTATGTTTTTCCAGTAGGCTAAGTCCCTTTGCTAAAATTACATATCCCATCATCTAGTAGTTGGTGAAAGAATGAATCAAGTGAGTGGTGGAAGCAACTGACTGAAGACTAGGGGCATAGTATAAACATAGCCTGGTAGAGACAGTGCAGTGTATGTACCAGGAGGAACACAGAATTTGACTTTAGAAAATCAGGCTCTGAGTCTGATCAAGTAATCAACTACTTGATAATGGTGAAGGACACACAAATAAGTGGCCCTGGGGACTGTCCAGAGTCAAGAAAAATAGCTGGGGTTGAGGGTGGAGGTTAAGAAGGGGCTTGTCAATGTATCTGTGGCTACAGATGAGAAATGTAAACAAACTGGTGGTCTGTTATTCAGACAACAGGCAGGACAAGGGGAGTGCCCAGAGAAGCAAGTAGTCAGTTCAGAACCAGGGCCATCAGATTTCTCCTATGGGTAACATCAGAGCACAGGAGAAGAGTTTCTTCCATGGCAAACTATCCTTGGTCAATACTATAGCCAGGCCAGGTGCAGCGGCTCATGTCTGTAATCCCAGCTATTTGGTAGGAAAACATGGAAGGATCACAGACTGGGCAAAGGATCAGACTGGGCAAAAAAATGAGATATTATCTCAAATAACAGGCTAGAAGCCAGTGGCTCAGACCAATAATACTAGATACTCAGGAGGCTGAGATTGAAGATCACAGTTCGAAGCCAGGCTAGGCAAGAAAAATCCAAGACTCTTATCTCTAGTTTTAATCACCAAAAACCTGAAAATAGAGCTGGGCTCAAGTGATAGAATGCCAGCCTTAAGTGAAATAGCTAAGGGACAGTGTCCTGGTTCTGAGTTCAAGCCCCAGTACTAGAACAAAAACAAATAAAAAAGCCAAGCTGAGCCTGGCCAGGCAGGACTAGGCTTATAGTTCACCCAGTAGTTAGGGAGGTAGAGGTAGGGAGGTCAAAGCCCAGGCTGCCCCAGGTTAAAAACAAAAAACAAGAACAACAACAACAAAAAAAACCCCATAAGACCTTGTATGAAAGAACAATAGCTATCAGAAGCAAAAAAAGGCTAGAGGAATACTTCAATTGGTAGAATGCAAATACAAGGGCATGAGTTCAAACTCTAGTACTACCAAAAAATAAAATAAAAAAAGGATATATTTGAATTTATAAGAGAAACAAAGCACGCTCTCTTAGCACGTTCCCTTAGTGGACTAAGTCCTTGACCTCCAGTTTCTGCCTCCTATAACCAGATAATGAACACGAACACACACACACACACACACACACACACTTTCAACTTCTCCTGTGTGCCTAGTGCTATTCTGGGACCCAAGACTATAAAAATAAAGTCCCATTTTCCAGAGCTTCATCTGGGGGGGTGGAAGGACTATCAGACCCAGAAACCCAGTATGCAAAGCACTGTGGTCCAGGGATGACAGAGAAAAGCAGGTTCACTTTGCTGGTTGATGCACAGGGGTGAAGACTTATTTTACACAGAACAGAGATAGAGATAGGGAGGTGAGAGGAGACACAAGCAGGTGAATGGAGGAAAAGGCAGAGCGAACTGAGTGCAGCAAGGCTCCCTCCCTCTTAGGGAGCCTAGACTCTGCCCACATTCTGCCAGTAACAGGGAGCCATTAAAGGAGCAAGACATGATCGTATTTGTGTTTCAGAAAGGTCCTTCTACGGCTCTAAGGAGGATGGACAGGAGCCAGCAAATGGGAGATGGAACAATCAATTAATTGGCTACTGCCATATTACAGCAAAGAAAAGAATGTAAGTGAATAAACAATTCAGA